TAAGTCTTTAGCATTGTTTGTTTATGGCATCTATATGTCACCTTACATTCAAGGGGTTGTATATTTAAAATGATAATAAAATTAAATCCAACGTTCAAATAGCTGAAGTCAAATAAAACTTAACACATTACAAACAAAAACTACAGCATCACAAGTACACCATAAAAAAGTAAAACGGCTTGGACAATAAAAAGCCACAATCTCTAAAAACTAGTTGATAAAACAATAACACAATAAAGAAGGCAGAAAAGTCATAAAAATGAACAATAGGACCAGACAGAGTAAAACTAATAAAGTCAATACAGAACCAGAAGCAAAAACAGTAAAGTTATTCAAAATTGGTCAAAACATTGACCATGCTATACAAAAAACTGACATTTTATGATGTCAGTTTCTGTGTTCTAAATCCCAGTGAAGTCCATAGAATGTCATGGTCAGAACCAATGTGATGGCTTCTGATTTGTCAAATCTAGTACTAACACTGTACAACGTAGCCATATTATTAGACCCTCATGTTAATGATGGTTTCAGAAGATCCTAAATTATGCCATGTTCAAGTGTCCACAGGTTCTAGAACACAGGAAGGAAAAGGTAGATTGGGATGTGCCAATATACCCCTGGATGATCTACTGACTCTCAGTTATTTAACAATAGCAACAACATAAATTGGGCTTCCTAAATTAAGCTGCTAAAACTAAGGAAGTATGGAAGAAACCAAGCATGGGTTTTAGTGTTAAAATACTATAGGCTGCATCCAACTAAGTTGTACTCAGAATAGATGCACTGAAATGTTAGGGCTCTGTCAAACATTAGTCAAAGTAGTCCCATTGAAATTAATGGACATGACTAACTTAGGTTCATTAATTTCAATGCATCAATTCTGAGTAGGACTTAGCTGGATACATTCCAAAGGAATTAAGTTAGTAATGTCTATTAATTCCAGTGGATCTACTCTGACTAACACTGAATACAACTATATGAGCTCTCTTTGAGTAATGAAAATAAATTTCTGGACTGAGTATGTGCTCTGTTACCCAGTTCTTAATTCTATGCCTACCTGCCACCCCAAGCCACTATTTTGCAGTTGTTGGACCATGCGGTGTAGGGGGGAAAAACCCAAAATTGTTTTCACAAGCATGAAGTCTGACCACTTCTGCTGTGGAGCTTTCAATGCTGGGACACATTTTCGCCTCAGTCATTCAACAAAGTCTGAAATAATATTGCCAAGTTGTAGAAATGTCTTTAAAAATAATTTAGCACTACCTCAATACACCATGTTTTAAAGGCTGTATGAGAAATGCTGCTTTAAAAATATGTTCCTTTGGAGTGTAAATTGCCTCATAAATGTAGGAAATGCCTACAAAATGAGCTGGGGAGTATTAGCAATTTAGAGACCTAAACATGGGAGAATTCTATTCTGGTCTATTCAGAAACAAAAGGACAGATAATTGCAGAGTTATGCCTTGAACGAATATAGCAGGATTGTCCCGTTAGCTGACACTGAGTGCAATATTTCTTGCCATTTTCGAAACTCAATTGCAATGCAGCACAAAGACTTTCCGTTTAAATTAGTAGGCTCTGGGTTATCACAGCTTCCCATTATACAAGTCAACAGGCAAGTTTATTTGCTTATAGATTTCTCTTTCACTCTCCTGTAGGGTTAATGTAGACAGCAGGAAGTAGGTCAATGTTGTGTAAAGTGAAGCATCCATATAAAGCAGTATTGTGTTGTCTGTGTTATAATGCCCAGTAGCAGACAGTTCTATATCTATTTTCTGAGTGCAAGTAGTGAACATCACATACACACTGTAAACTGCATGGATGATCTCCCTGGCTCTATTATTTTCCAAAGGCACAAAGACTATGTGAGCAATTATATTGTACTCATCTCACTCATATATTATGTCCTGACATGATATTGAAAATCTGATGGATGGCCAGTAAATCACTACTCTGCCTCAGTTCATGTGCAGAGTCCGTTGTTTCCTTCACTACTATCTATGACATTGGGGACTTATAGAGTTGCCATTTGCTATCTGTCAGAGATATGAATGCTAGGAAAGGAACAGTCCTCTTCACCGCTACCATCTTTCTAGTTTTCTTTTGATTGGTTGGGAATGGGCTATTTTAATGCTTGTGCATTGATTTCAACATGTAATTGGTTTAGAAGGAAAACACACTGGGAGTGTTTAATAAGCTGTTAAATGTAACAAGCAATAACTATTATTATTATTATTATTATTATTATTATTATTATTATTATTTACACCCCACCCATCCAGCTGGGTTTCCCCAGCCACTCTGGGCGGCTCCCAACAGATTAAAAACAGAATAAAACATCAAATATTAAAAACTTCCCTAATCACTCTCATTGATTTGTGCAAGAGTTTTGTGCTTCATAACATTTACATGGCAATCCCCCTGAGTACATTACTAATTGCTGCAAAAATTCTTTTCCCCTGTTCTGAAGTGATTTTGTATTTGTTGTATTGTTCAGTTGCTGTAATTTTGTTTGTTTTAATCTCTGTTTGCTTTGAGAATTTTGATTATATGGCAGCTTATACCTTGTATATATGAACAAATTATGTAGAAAAGCTATATCCTCTGTGGACCTGGTGCAGGGAATCCCAGGCCTATGTCTCAAATAATGTCTTCTTTCTAACTAGCTCCTACCAACATGTTCAGAGCCCCTAAATATATTTGTGTTGAATTTGATTTGGCCCAAGACACATTGTCACATCATCTCACTTAAATGTTTCCAAGGAAAGCTCAAACAACCTGGTAGGAAGAGATGAAGAGGATTTGTGTGTACTTAAAAGCTTACATATGTGAGTGACTGTGTGTGTGTGTGTGTGTGTGTGTGCGCGCGCGCGCACGCACACAAGCATGCTTGTAAGTGAAAGTACATGTGTGAAAAAATGCATGATTCATATTTATATACATTTGCATAAGTTTGCACATCTATGTGCAAATGAGTGAGAGATTGCATGCTTGTGTTAATCTGAATGTGAGTTTCTGAGATGCCACTTGTGAGCTCTTGGGTGCAGAACATTGGCCAATTTAAAATCAACAGTTTTACAACCAGACAAAAGAAAGGTTTCTCGCCCCCATTTGAAATCATACAGGCCGTATTCTCTGCTATGAATAAGCATACCGACATAGAAGCATATGAGAAGGAAGAGAAAGCTCTGTTCCAAAACTTAGCTGGACTAAATAGACAAGTTCAGCCATGACTATGATATGCATATCTCTTGAACCGGTGCAGCTGGGGCAGTGTGCAGGTTCCCTTCCTTTTGAGTAGCACCCTCTCATCCAGTCAGGAGCTAGGTACACATATAGTCCAGGACAACAGAATTACTAGAAACATCTGAAAAGAGCACATAATATCTGCTTCATAAGCAAGCCACTACACAGAAAGAGTGGGATGTTGGGCTGTGGGTATTCCCTCTTCATTCATGAAGTAAGAATGGAAGGGGCTGTATCAATTTTAAATGAATTTACACTAGAAATTTGGAGGTTCTGAGCTGATAAAGTTTCAGCTGCATTGGACTACCTCTTGCATCAAATGCCACTTATGTCTGAGCAGATTGTGCACTGCTGGGTTCTTTTTTCAAATGTCTATGTACTTGCAAAATTATTTGCAGAAAATATATATATTATATTTCTCAGATGTATAAAAGAGTCAGGCTGCATGTGGTACCATATTGCTGCAGCATAATTTATATATATTAATACATAAATCATTGTATATAGTTATATGCATTGTTACATGTATCTGGTTTTATGCTGGTTACTTTAAGAAACCTTGCACTTTATGCATATAATATTATAAATATAGTAATGCATATAAAAATATGTGCTAATAGTTCGTATTCTTAGTGAAACCACAAAAAATAAACAAACTTTATTCTCCTGATATTCCATGAGCATGACTAAGGAATCCAATCAACTGCTAACGAATCCCATCAGCTGAAGTCCTGAGCAAGGACTTCTGCTAAAGCAAATGGGCTTCCCCCTCTCCTCCCCGTGTGCTCCCCAAAATTGCCTCTGGATGAGGTCAGGAGAAACTCTGAAACAACACATCGGGGAGGAAAGGGAGATTGTTCCAACTGGCAAGCCCAAATGCTTAAGCTGATAGAACAATTGCCTTATCATCACTGGCAGAGGAAGAGGAGTGCGGGAGGAGCGCACCACCCCCGGCAGCGCGATCCCGGCAGGGTGCCATTGTGGCTGCCCCCCCCCCGCAGGTGGCATGCCATGTCCCCAGGATGCGCACCAGCCCTGCCTCTGCCTGCTCTCCGCCCCCCGGTGCTGGAGCATGAAGCTTCGCCATTGCTTATCATTATGTTTAATTCCACCCAATAATTAGAAAAAATCTGTTCTGATTTCAATATTTTGAGAAAATTCCATCCCTAACATGAAATAGCCTGAGACTGGGATCTGCAATGATATCCGGGAAAATAGGGCAAAACATGCACATGTGTTGTTTCCTGCATTGGGAAAGGGTTGGTTTTCAGTAACAGCTGGAAACAGTAGCAGCAGAATATAAATTGTCTTCACCAGCTTCAACTATTTTGATACAATCTGCCCAAAAAAACCCTGGACAAGAAGCATTTGCTGAACGAATCCATGAATAAGAAGCTACTAAGAAGGCAAACAAATGAGAATGTGTTGAATGAAATATTGAAGCATACCCACACATCTGATCCAGCACATTTGACTACACTGCAGATGACTCTTCAGGTCCTGTGATGTTGGACTTGCTTAGCTGTTATTAAAGGACACCCCATGCTAAGAGCTTGTGTGCTGAAATGGCATGTCTTAGGGATCATGCTGTCAAGGTTGTGGAGAGCACACAACTGTTTCTAAGTTCACAAAGGAGGCCTAAACAGTTTCACAAATGCAGAGACCCTTTCAAAAGCAAAACCTGTTAGCTGCATACATGGGTCCAGCAGGTATTCTTTTCATAATACTTCTCAGCTGCCATAATCCAATTGTCATGCAACATGCCAGGCTGCATCAATCATGCTGCGTTATGTTCTGTCACATAACATAACACAATATGACTGATGCCACCCAACATGACATGCTGCAACATGCTACAATGTGTAGGAAATTTTTATACAGTCCTCCAAGAAAACTGCACACACACACACAAAAGCAGCTTGTCAGAAATGGGGGGGGGGCATAAGATCCTTTGAAGGCTTCAGCTTTCATGCTTAAAAGGGACCATTCATAGACTATTTATACGACTGTAATCCCTGCATAGCAAATGCAACCAAAACAATTAAATCGGCCGTAAATCACAATTTTCACAGGCAAAAGGCCAGTTAAAAGAATGGTTGTTCCTGCTGTTATGTGAAAAGTGCCTCCTGCTTCTTGTGAACCAAACATGTTCTTTGGTTATGCAAAGTGGGCCTCTGATGCTGGTACAACCTGATCTTCTGTGGTGGTCCATCAAGAAGCACATTGCACAAAATGCCAGTTAGCAACGTTGTACTCAAGGGCTGGTGTAGCAGGTACTGAAAGGTATGTGCCTCAAGCCCCCAACAAATCTGCTCTGGGGGTTTGGCGGGGCACAGAACAGATTTAGAGGGAGTGCTGGGGGAGGAAGGGAAATTCTGTTGTGCAAGCAGAAGTCCTTGCGCGGAGAGGTCAAGTTAGCTGGATACATAGGCACCAGGTCCTAAGGGCTGAAGCACTTTAGGATCCCCAACTTTTTTTAGGGGGGCAGGCCCCTTCAATGTTCAGAGGGCATTCAGTTCTGCTGCCCGGCCCCTCGCAATGTCACATCAGGCCCCCTCAGTCATTCTGAAAAGCTGACGCCTCTGGTTGGATACTGTTCACAACTATTTTAATATCAGTATGATAGGGTTAGTATGGACCAAAAGAGTCTTAAGCTACCTAGGATGCTCCAGCTTTCAAAGGGTTATTGCAAAAGCTCTAGATAACTAGAAGCAGATAGCCACTGGAACAGATAGCTCTATGTTATTTGAATCAGCAAGACAAGTCGAATGCTACATGGAAATTGGTGGAAGAATCATAGACTTGTTAAGAGTTGGAAGGGATCACAAGCATCATCTAGTCCAAACTCCTGCTGTGAAGGAATATTTTGGGGTTTTTTTCCAAAAAAAGATCTGAAATTTCCTGGCTTGGACAAGAAAAATGATTATCCTAACCAGTTCTGATATTATCTCTGCCATCTTAGGAAGATACAAAATTAACTCCAGGAATTTATGTGGTATAGGGAGAACAATGCTAAATGGAGATACTCTCCTATATTGCCACTGATAAAATTATTATTATTATTATTATTATTATTATTATTATTATTATTACCACCATCATCATCATTATTAAAAGTGCTTCTGGTTAGATATCATAAATAAAATGAATGACATCATCCGAAGACCTGAGTTATTTGGCATGGGTTACATGCACTTATCTGTATACTAGACTATGAAGCATACTAAGTATTGCACTCCAAACACACCCATACACTGTAGAAAACAACCAAATTCCACTGCACACAATGCCCAGCAAGTGCTATCTGAAATATACATGAACATTCTAGTAGATTAGCATGTTAGAAGCATATAGCTAGTCAGGAGAAATCCAACAATGTGGGCTCACCAGCTGTAGATTTTTGTAAAACTGTGGCAAAATTAAAGAAAATATTGTCAATTCTGGATTAAATTAACAACTAGCAGAGGATGCATTCCTTAAAGGGGGGGTGGAGACACCAGAGCAGTTTAACCTCCCCTGACCTTTGAACTCTGAGGGGGGTCATACACATGTCACTGTTCCCAGCTGTCTTTCTGACACTCTGCCCATTGCAGGGCCTTAGCCCTTTCCATTTTGTAGCGGTATTGATCTGTTGGCAGCAATGGGCTGGATAATTAGCCAGGAATTAGGGTTTCTATTACAGCCAGGAGGTTGCCCCAGCTGATTTATCACCTGAATAATTTACTGTGATTGAAAGGAAATTAAAATGAACTCCATTCGACAACTGTGCACTTTTATGGGCTTTAGTGAAGACTCAAAATCCAAATTAATAGCCTTGTGCTGTTTAATAGTCTACTGAGAGTAAATATGGGAAGGTTTTCTCTGCTGCTGATGCGCTTTCTCCTGCTGGATTTAGAAGTTGCTCCTCCTCCCCCCCTCCCAAGATAACTACTGACAGACCCAAAGGTATTTTTTACTTGAAAGAGACACATATTAGTGACTAAACTGTTACAAACGTGTCTAAAAAAAAACAAAAACCCTCTAGTTCTATTTGCACTTTCCTTTATTGTTAGCTTTCGGTCTGGAGGCAAAGTTAAGGCTAATCATTTGAAAACAAAATGGGATGCATCCTACATTTTCATTCACAGGAACACACATATAAGTCATGGGTAAAATTAAAAATTTTGCAAGGGGAATAATAGATATATCTGTTCCCCTGCCAAGCACAGGTAGATCTACAGATCTGAAAGTCATTTGTATCTGCCTCATAAAACAGTTTATTTGTCCTTCCTACGTTACAAGTTTCATTACAATAGTTACTTTTGTACTTTTGGTCCCACAAACAAAAACATTCTTTTTCTAGAAAAACAGGTGCCGGTACTCACCATAAAGTTGTTATAGTAAGTGCCACACTTTTTAACAACAACAAAAAGAGGTGCCAGTACTGTGTACCCTTGAGTGTTCCGGGGGGGGGGAGCACTGCCTACATCTATAACAGCGTTCTTCTTTACAGTAAGCTCAACTTCCCAGTATTACTACATATGCAAATTCTGAATGTGGAATTCTGAATTTGAATTTTGAGTTTCAAAAGAGAAATTTTACGGCCCCGCCCCCACTCACCACTCCACCTCTTTCCCCGTTTTTCTTCCTAACGTCTCAACAAATTAAACTGATCTGTAGAAAAGGTAACTTGAAAAAAGAGACACTGCACGTACTTTTGTAAACCAATAAATCTTTAATAAAAATACATTTTTTAAAAAAGAGAATTTTTACCTCAAAATTCTGGGTCTTTTGACTTCTTAACAACTCTCGATGTTTTTATTTGGCCAGTGTCAAATATCTGTTCTCACAAGCTGTAAACTGACAAAAGCTGTCAGTTTATGAATACCATTTGAATGTAATATGTGAAGAGTGTCAATGTGGTATAGCAGTTAGTGTGTCTGGCTAGGATTGGGGAGACCAAGGTTCAAGTCCTCATTCAGCTGTGACGTTCACTGGGCAATCCCAAGTCACTAGGTCTCAGCCTAACCTACAGGATTGTTGTGAGGATAAAACAGGAGAGAATTGAAACTTGAATGCCATCCTGAACTCCTTGGTGAGTTCTAAATATCAAACGCTGTTAATCAAATATTATATATTGAAATAAAGTATTATTGCTAAGATTGGGGGTTTCATCAGGAGTAGATTAACTGAACCAGGATTGATTAAAGTCAGTCAATTAGCAAGATCTATATATACTCTTGTTAGCGAGATTATTGGCTAAATGGCCCACGGGTGCTTTCTAGAATATATCTGAAAAGTCCTGAAAGGGGCACTTTCCTTTCTCTTCTTTTCCCCATTTCTATGTAAGGATGATGTAAGTTAAGTCTGAATATGAAAAGAATTAATATAGACCATGCAGTTTAGGTTGGAAAGGAAGACAGACTACTAAGGGGACAGCTGATTCTTTGGCTCCGCAAGCTCTGGGAAAGTGCCTTTTGGGAAGAACTGCCTCTTTGTGGAGATCTGGTGTGGGGTAGTGGATTTGGTTGTCTGTTGCAGTGTTTAAACTGTGGTTTCACCTATGCTCAGCCTTTGTATTTGTAAATAAACTCAGCTATTATACATGCCATAAGCCTCCCAGTGAGCTTTCCAAAGGAAACAAGGCCCAGGTAAACACCCGTGGAACTTCTCACCACTAGGGGAAGCATAATGGTACCCAATATTAAAACCAAATATCATCACATGTCAAAGGTAGATCTATCAAGTTTATTATGAATATTATTTCAAATCCATTTATTACTCCAAAGCATTCAGGTAAATAAGACTGTATAACTGTTGTGTAAGCTATAGGAGCAAATATCTATGGGAAATTCCCAAACCAATCCAATGCTTGTGGAAAACAGCCGAAACCTTTTGGTATTTCTCTCTCTCATACCATTTCTAATTTCCTTAGGATTTTTCAGTCTTTCCCATTTTTGGCCCCATACATATACATTTGCATGCTGCTGTACAAGAGATTTCTTCCACCAAACAAAATGGTGCTTCCATCAGCTTTAGCAGCATTAATCAACAGAAGGGGGAACAGCTATCTGAAATCATACTACCACTACCACCACCCAGTGATCAGTACTGTCAAAGCTAACAACTATGTGCTCCAGAAACACAGACAATTGTTTAAAAGAGGATTCTAAACATTTTCTCAACCAATAACAACAAAATGACCACCTTGAATGTTCTGGTGTCATAAGAAATTTTGGTCACCTCACTGCTCACCCCAACTCCAGCTCACTTATGTACAAGATTAAGGGCATGTTGGTACTGGGGCGAACCCACTTCTTATATCCCCCATAGTAAGATCACTTCCTATTTAAATCCCAGCCCAAGGGTCAGATGGAGATGCAAATTGCCCCCTCTCTAGACATCAGAATAATAATTTCATGAGCACAGAGGAGCAACAACTCCCTTCCACAGCTGGTCTGCAAAAGGAGCTCTATATGTCCTGTAAGTACATATGGTGCATGCAATGACCACACACTATTGGTCACATGCAGCACTGGAATTTACTCCCCAGAATCGTTGGCCAAAGGTTAAAGCAGCCCTTGGGCCAATATAAAGGTTAGCCTGCTATAGAACCGCACATTTCTTGTATGAAAAATAAATGAGTTGTTATCAGATTTTGTTCAATAGATGTGTGCTGCGGTATTCACTAGGTCTATGTGAGGTTCCTAGTGATCATATAATATGCCTTGTAGACACTACTTAACTTTTTAAAAAGTTATCTGAAATACACAATAAAACAATTATTACAGTGCCTTTTCTCAAAATGTTGCTTCCTCTAAATTCAATTTCAATACTCTGAAGTTGACGGGCTAAATAAGACCTG